CGCGGGAGAGGAGTGGAGGAATTCCATTATCTGGGCCACCTGCGCCCGAGGGGCTGGTGGGATGTTGGGCCGTCCTGGAGGCTTGTTGGGGACTTCTACAGCCGTCGTGCGGCTCGACGAGGCCTTCATGTTATGGTTTTAGTCCGAAAGGCGTGGGAAGCAAAAAGCAACGGAAATGCTGGATCTGTCTAATCTTAGGTCTTTGGGGGGGGGGCGCCTTGGGACACATTTCAGCCGTCTTGGGCGTTTTTCGTCTGCCTTGGAGCCTTTGGCGGCCGAGAACAGCGCTCAGCATAATACAGAGCAGGGCGGCGATACTGCGCGGCCATGCGCGTCGACGAAGGGATCGCCCTTGGAAAAATCCCGGCGAAAGACCCAACCATACGCAAGTGTGAGAACCGCAAGTCAGGTGGGAAGAAGCAAGGGGACTTTCCTATGGGGCCACGAACCGTGTGAGGGGGTGCGCCAAAATGGGGCCGGGCCGCCATGCGAACCTTGCCACTGGGGCCTTCGGTGGAGCTCCCTATGGGGTCACGAACCGTGTGAGGGGCGCGCCAAAATGGGGCGGGGCCGCCATGCGAACCTTGCCACTGGGGCCTTCGGTGGAGCTCCCTATGGGGCCACGAACCGTGTGAGGGGTGCGCCAAGATGGCGCGGGGCCGCCATGCGAACCCTGCCTCTGGGGCCTTCGGTGGAGCCCTTTATTGGAGCTCCCTATGGGGCCACGAACCGTGTGAGGGGTGCGCCAAAACGCGGGGCCGCCATGCGAACCCTGCCACTGGGGCCTTCGGTGCAGCTCCCTATGGGGCCACGAACCGTGTGAGGGGTGCGCCAAAATGGGGCCGGGCCGGCATGCGAACCCTGCCACTGGGGCCTTCGGTGCAGCTCCCTATGGGGCCACAAACCGTGTGAGGGGTGCGCCAAAACGCGGGGCCGCCATGCGAACCCTGCCACTGACGCCTTCGGTGGAGCTCCCTTTGGGGCCACGAACAGTGTGAGGGGTGCGCCAAAATGCGCCAAAAGTCCCGGGGCCGCCAAATGGGGGGGCCGCGAACCCTGCCACTGGGCCTTCGGTGGAGCTCCCTATGGGGCCACGAACCGTGTGAGGGGTGCGCCAAAAGGCGGGGCCGCCATGCGAACCCTGCCACTGGGGCCTTCGGTGGAGCTCCCTATGGGGCCACGAACCGTGTGAGGGGTGCGCCAAAACGCGGGGCCGCCATGCGAACCCTGCCACTGGGGCCTTCGGTGGAGCTCCCTATGGGGCCACGAACCGTGTGAGGGCTTGCGCCAAAATGGCGCGGGGCCGCCATGCGAACCCTGCCACTGGGGCCTTCGGTGGAGCTCCCTATGGGGCCACAAACCGTGTGAGGGGTGCGCCAAAACGCGGGGCCGCCATGCGAACCCTGCCACTGAGGCCTTCGGTGGAGCTCCCTATGGGGCCACGAACCGTGTAAGGGGTGCGCCAAAATGGCGCGGGGCCGCCATGCGAACCCTGCCACTGGGGCCTTCGGTGGAGCTCCCTGTGGGACCACGAAACGCTGCACTGGGTGGGTGAAACGCAGGGAGGAGGGAGGAAGAAGAAGAGGAGGAGGAGGAGGAGGAGGAGGAGGAGAAGGAGGAGGAGGAGGAGGAGGAAGAGTAGGAGGAGGGGGAGGAGGGGAAGGAAGGAAGGAAGGAAGGAAGGAAGGAAGGAGGAACGCGGGGCACCGTCTCTTCAAAACGAGACCCAACACCAAAGGATGGTTGGGAAAAATACAGAAAGTCCAGGCCAGACGGTTCACAGATAATTCAGCCACGCCCCAGCTTACCGAGGGAACAGTGGCGGATGCACTCTGTTTGCCAATCGAGTCCCTGTGTTGGCAACATTGTTTGCGCTGCTCTGCCCCACAGGCCATGGAGTTCTGTATCTCGCATATTACATCGCAAGTTTTTATGGATGGCATTCTTGGAGGTCCGTGGAAGAAACCACAGCGGAGTACACGAGAGGCCCAGACGGGCAGCAGTTCGAAAATCTGATCGGCGATGATGCCAACGACTTGTGCAACTTAAGACACTCGTCTGCTGGATCCTCCAAGTCAGATTGCGCACCGGAGCACCAGGCGGTGGCTGAGAAGGTGCGAATCCAGGCCCGTTCTACGGTTCGCAATTCCATCCTCCTAGCTGCCATTATGTGGTTCCTCTGCGCTGTGGTAGTCCTGCACGCACACGTCACTGCCACTGCTAGCCTGTATGACGCAGACCCTTACTGGACGAATTGGACGCGACGCCTCGAGCGTGCTACCAACACACAGTCTCCTTTGATGTTGTCGGCCCAGGTTGTGCCAGTGTCTTGGCCCAGCGCCATGGTGGGCCCTCGGTTTCTTGCTTGTGCTGGAGGCGACGCTTTCACAGCGAACGCGTACCAGGTATTCCGTGTTCCAGTGTCCGGTGGTGCTGCAGTCCCAGAGCCATGTTCGGGCTTCGTTGGCGCAAGGGAGACTATCGTGGACGTCGCGGCGGACTGCGACGCGGCCAGCTGCTGGCCGCTGGTGCTGCTGGGGGGGCGCAGCGCAGGGCAGGTGCTGGACTGTGCCAGCGGGCACCGGCAGGACCTGATGCGAGCCCCGCTCCCTGCGACGAAGCTGACCCTGATGTTTGGCGAAGACAACGGGCGCGAGCTTCTGGGCGGCAACGCGCTGGCGGCCACCGCCGCGGGCTCCGTGGTCGAGCTCGCGCGGGCGCCAGGCGGCGGGTGGCGCCCCCTGTGGGAGGTGGTCAGCGACGAGGGGGCCGAGCTGTGTGCCCTGGGGGCCGAGGACGGGCACCTCTTCTTCTTCCGCGGGGGCGGGGCCGTGGAGCTGCTGAACGCCACCACCGGGCAGCCCGCGGGCCACTGGTCGGTGGGCACCCCGATCGCCGCCGGCTGCGCGCTGGGGGGCGGGGCCGTGCTCACGATGCCCGAGGGCAGGGCCCCAGACTTCTTGGTTGCGCAGCTCGCGGACGCGTAACGCCTGAGCGCGGGAGTTTGCGTCCGGCGGGGGTGCGCTCCACATCGCTGGGGAGGGCGGCCGCGAAGAGGTGGCGAGAGTCACGAAGGCAGTCCGAAGAGCACACGTGAAGAGTCCAGCAAACCGCGCCCCGTCTGCACTCATTTACAGCATAGGCCAATTGCTAAAAGTAGTACGTGCGGCAGGGCATTGGCATTTGCATTCGGACGCGGGTAGGGCTGAAAGGAGGGGTCGCTCTTGACGCTTCGCATATCCCAAAGAGCCCGTCCAGAAACGATTCCAAGGCGAGTTCTGAGATCACACCGTTTATTTACCATGCTGTTTTTTTGTGTGGTGGGCGGACCTATGCCCTGGATGTATCGTTGTCTCGTTTTTGGTTCGAGAGATTGTGGCCTCAGGAGCGCGTTTTCACGGCTTTCTCTTCAAATGGTCGCGGCCAGAGGAATTTCGTAAGATGTTTTACGAGGAGCCGCGGCCTTCGGATTGATGACGCATAGTTTTGATTTACACGTGATCGTGACCCTGGGAGCGAAGGTTTTATTAGTTGGGAGCCGGGACCAGTCGAAGAGTCGCTATATTGTTCGAATGGTCGCGACTATTTGAGCGCAGGCCCTCCTGTATTACAAGACTCGTGGTCCTCGGCGCACGGGTCCATAGTTCACGAGGGACATTGCCCCTAACAGAGCAGTGCTTCTCCGTTCGATTCTGTTCTGAGTTGGTGTGCTATGCGTTGGTCTGCACTGGTGTGCCAAGCCATCCAGCTACGTCGGGGGGCCGTCTTGGGAGGCTGCGGCTGCGGCTGCGGCTGCAGTTGCGCCTACAGCGTCCCATGGGGGCCGGCCCTACGCGGGGCTACGCGGTGGCGCCAGGGCGCCAGAATCATACTCAACCAGCACACGTCGGTCGTTGAAAGTCGGTATTTCTGGACTCCCAGATCCCAATCTACTTCAAGCGCCTTCCTACTTCAAGAACCGGCATTTTTGTTGCTGCGTTTTGTTATTCTTGTGGAGGACCTGAACCCAATCTATTTCATCCGCCTTCCTACTCCATGTTTCTACCTACTTCTTCCGACCGACGGATAGCCCGTGGTTGTGTCGTTGTGCGTCCTCCTGCGTAAGACACGTACGAGTCCCCGAACTTTGCCCAGAGCCCAATGTCCATCACAACCGATCCCCACTCCTTGGCGTAGTCCCCCCAAGACGGCCCAAAAAGAGACCCCCAGGACTACCTTATGGTCCGGAATAGGCGCCATAGGAGGCTTATGAGTTGCGCCGCGGGTGCCGCTGACTTCCCGGCGCTGCCGTAGCCCGCCCATGGGCTTCGCCGCGGATGTGTCGGCGTGGCCATGGGGCCCGTCCCATGTGGTCATCGTCGTCGTCGTCGTAGTGTCGTCGCCACCGTCGTCGCGGGCGACGCCGCTGCGTCGTCGTCTTTGTTGTCGTCGCCGCCGCCGCTGCCGCCATCGCAGTCGGGGCCCTCCTCACCCCCATAGCCCTTGGGCACACGAACGCTGTTTTGCAGTCGGCAGCGCCGGCGGACGCAGGCGCGAGGGTCGAGGCCGGCAGGGCGCGTTGGGCGCGGGGCGCACGGAGCGAGTGGACAAGCAGAGAGCGGCCGCGGAGGAGGAGGGAGGAGGAGACCCGACCGTCGAGAGTCGACGGGTGAGGGGCGCGCAGGCAGCTTCAGGCACCGAAGACGGTGTGCATCCAACCCACCGACGCAAGCATAGAAGATTTGAAGGTACTCGAATCTGGACTGGCACAAGGCCTTCAGCCAGGCTGAACGCTCCCAGAGGAAGCGCACCCCAAGCAGCAAGGTGCTTCGTTCGCAAATTTCATGTTGCTACACGATCAGGCAGATTCTCCAGCGCTTTCACGCCACAGCCGCCGCCGCCGCCGCCGTCGTCGTGGTCGTCGCCGACGTCGTCGTCGTCGTCGTCGTCGTTGCCGTGCCCGTCGTCGCCGAGCCCTTCGTCGCCGTCCGCTTCGTCGAAGCCGCCGCTGCCTTTCTCAGGTGGAGATGCCGCTCGGCGACGGTGCCCCCTGCGAGCCGGGAAGGGACACGGCAAGCGATGGCGTCAGGCGATCGCCCCCGCGCTAAGCACCGCCTGATCGCGGCCAGATGCGGCGCCCAGAGCGGGTCCACCACGTTCCCTAGAGCAGAGGAGAGGGAGGAGCATCACGAAGGCGGGTGGCACGGGAAAGTTGAATGAAGGGGGGAAAGAAGTAAGAAGCGAGGAAGGCGGTATTTCTTACAGGGGGGTGCGCAGCCCGTACTCAACTCTCGCAGTAATGGGAAGGGCGCCGGGTGCGCGGGGCACCTAACCAGATTTCGCAGTACCCATATTTTATATTTCTTCTCTTCCTCCTGCTCCTCCTCCTCCTGCTCCTGCTCCTCCTCCTGCCCCCCCTCCTGATCCTGGTCCGCCTCCTCCTCCTCCTCCTCATCATCATCATCATTATCATCAGCATCACCATCATCATCATCATCATCATCATCATCATCATCATCATCATAATCATCATCATCATCATCATCATCATCATCATCATCATCATCATCATCATCATCATCATCATCATCATCATCATCATCAGCAGCAGCATCATCATCATCATCCTCTCCGTAGCCGGTTTGGCTCTAGCAATTTTGGTTCAAGGTCTACTTATTTCAAGGACAGGATGTGGAGACCGCTGGTCCGCGGCAGTGCCAGGGCGGTTGCATATTGCAGTCTTTAGCCAGTAACCGCAGGGGTTTCTGGCGGCCCACTTCGTTTCTCGCACTCACGACTCCATGGCGCCTGCGCCGTGGAGCAAGGATGTCAAAACCGACTGGATGTGCAAGTTCTGTATGTACCGCCTCGCCCTCTTCCTGTGTGCCCTCGTTCTTCGCTGTTCTTTGCTCTTTCGCCCTCTTCCTCTTCGTCGCCTCGCCCGCTGTGTGTCCTCGTTCGTTTTCTCCTCCGCCGCGTAGTTCTCGCCACCGTTGTGGCCCTTTTCCCGCGTGTCCTCTTAGGTTGGCCTGTCGTATGACTACCCTGGCGGCGCGCAGCTGCCTGCGTCGCTCGCGATCAAAAAAATATCCCCACCAGCCCATCCAGAAACGATGCCCAGGCGAGTTGCCTTTCAGAGTCTCCTCGGATATTTGTATATATATATATATACATATATATATATATATATATATATATGTATATTGGAAGCGTGTCGGAGACCTCTTGGAGTGTCTTGGGGGCCTCTTGGCGGTCCCGGGGGGGGGCCTATTGGAGCGTCGTGGATGCTTCGGGGAGACTATTGGGGCCTCTTGGGGGTCTCTTGGAGGCCTCGGACCTCCTGGGCGCCTCTTGGGGCCCTGTAAGAGGCGTTCCTGGGAGCCTTGGGAGCTTTTTGGGGGCCACTTTGGAGGAGGAGGAGCAGGAAGAGGAGAAAGAGGATAAGCTCTGTGGGGTCGGTGTACGAACCCATTTGCTGTCATGTGTGTCGCAGGAAGAGGAACAGGAGGACGAGGGGAACGAGGAGGAGGAGGAGGAAGAGGAGGGGGTGGGGGAAGGGGAGGAGGCAGGAGGGAGGAGGAGCAGCAAGCGGATGAGGAGGAGAAGGGAGAGGAGAAGTAGGGGAAGGAGGAGGAGGAAAAGGGCGAACAAAAGAGCTCAAATGTTTTTTGGGGAATTGGAAACCTCTTCAGACGTTTGGGGGGGAAGGGCATCGTGGCGGGCCCAAGGCCGTTTTTGAGTGTCTTAGGTCACTCGGGGATCCTCTCGAGCCCCATTTTAAGGGTATCGTGAGAGCCTTCTGGAGGCCTCTGGGCGCCTCTTGTGGCTTTTTTGGGGCGATATTGGGAGCTTCAGGGCCGCTCTTGGGGTCATTTCGGAGGACATCGATCAAGAAGCGAGGGGGCTTCAATTAGCGCTGGCCCTCGGGAGCCCAAAAAATCACCTCGTGGGGCGCTCTGGGGCGCCCTCGGGGCGCTTTTGGGGCCGTCTTGGGGCTCGCTTGGGCCTCTCTAGGGGCTTGCTGGGGCCATTTTTGAGCCATCTGGAGGCCCTGGAAGGCCATCGAAAGCAAAAAGGCGACGGCACAAAAATCAGTGATTATCCTCAGGTGTTGGAAGGATGTTTGCTTCTTGGGTTCCTCCTTGGGGGCGGTCTTGGGACCTCTTGGAGCATCGTTGGAGCCATATTGAGGTATCTTGCGATATCTTGAGCCATATTGGAGGTCATCGTGGGCTCCGAGGCGCTCTTGGAGCCGACTTGGGCCATCTTGGACGCTCTAACTACCCGCAGGGCGCCCCGTCCACGCCCAGGGGAAAGGGGTCGGGGGCGGGGTGGACCCCTCCCCCAAGGGGAAGAAGGGGGTTGGAAGAGGAAGCAATCGAGACCACCTACACCCAGAGGGCTGGTGGGCTTATGGTCCGAACGAAGGATATTACACATTCCACGGTCACAAGAGCTAATCGTTCAAATCTCTGGCCACCACGACTCGCACAGCGGCCGCAAGCGCAAAGTAGGTCAGCACACAGAGCAGCCGCATTCAGCATCGCTCGCCAAGCTGGAAAAGCGCTTGCTAGCGCTCGAGGCCGAGAACGAACGGACGCGGGCACCACGGGGGGATGGAAGAGGGGCGCCAGTTGAAAATGAGCCCGATGAGCTACGGGAGGAAATTGATAGCCTAGCCAGGGCCGCTCACATGGGCCGATCAACCTTTCAAGCTCGCTCGCGAGCATTTGGAGGCCGCGCGCAAGAAGCTGTCTGAAAACAGGCCCCATCCAGCGAATAGGACAGCGCCTTCGCGCAGAGGTGAGCAGGCACGTCTCAGGCTTCAAAAGGCAGAGCAAGAGAAGGTCGAGGCCGACAAGGCGTTGGCCAAAGCACCGGCTACGGCCGCAACGGCTGATGCCACCGCGGTTGAACGCACGCAGGGCGTGGAGCAGCTCGACGAAGAGCTGCGAGGTCTGTTGCGCGGGCGCCGGCAAAGGCAGGTCACCTCGCGCGGTTGCTGGCCCAGGTTTTCAAGGATCGCGTCGCGGACCTCACGGCGGAACCCCCCGACAAGGAGCAGAAGACCACGGAGGCAGGCCCCGCTAGGGCCCAGGGGCGGGGCATCGAGGAGCTCGACGCGGAACAGCCGCGCAAAGACGCGGCAGACTCCGTCGAGGCTGAGGCAGCGGAGGACGCCCTTCGCACCAAAGCCAAGGCCCTTGCGGCAGGCAGACTGAGAGCGCCCAGGCCGCGCAATCCAAATTACCGACGGCCCCCCCGCGCTGAACATCGGCCCGAATAGCGGGGGCGCGCTCAACATGAGGCACCTCAAGAAGACCACCCACGGCGGCATGCAGCTTCCCGAGCACAGCTGCTTCAACCTGAGCGAGTACAAGCTAGGCGATCAGGTCGACGCAGCGGCCACGCCGCAGGTCGCCAGGCGCGTTCCAGGCGAGCGCTCTCAAGTGGCGCCCGGCCTCTATGCTGCAGGCGGGCCCGCTCCTGCTCGTCGCGCAGGCGTCGCGGCTGGCCAGAGCGCGCCCTCGCTGGCATTGCTGCATTGGGAAGGCGACAAGCAGCTGATCCAGTCCCCGGGCGTTGCATCCGAATTCGCGGCCGCCGTCTACAGCTCTAATCCGCGGGCGACTGCCGACTTGCTCATGGAGCGGCGCGTCCTTGACCAGAACCTGCAGGCGAAAATGTCCGATGCGGGGCCTTCGCCTCGCGCGCGGAGAACGCGCTCGGCGGGGGCAGAAGTGGGCGCGCAACCGAGGCTACACACTGGAGGCCCTTGCGCACGCTATCACAGGCAGCCAGCACTGTTTACCTCCGGCGCGGCAGGCCTTCGCACTCGCGCCAATTGTCCCGCTGCTGAATGCACGCGCGCATATGTACATATATATATATATACATATATATATACATACATACAGATTCACGCAGTTGTGTGTACACATATATATACACACACAGAGACGCATTCGCGGAGCTCTCGGGGGCGCCCTGGCCCGGCTGCTCGGGCCTCGCGCACGCCGCCTCGCATCGTCGGGGATTGGGGCATCGAGGCCGAGCATTTGGGAACGAGCAATTTGCGAGGCCGGGTTTCTTGAACTTACTGCGCGCTGATATAGCGCGCGCTGCAAATTCGACGCGCAACGATTCGCGCATCGACTCGGCCACCAGCGACGCGCTGCCCCCGCTTGCGCGCCGCGCGAGCCTTCGAGAGGACACGCCCGCGCGGCCCCGCAAAGCGACTGTCTTGGGGCCCCCAGGCACGGGGGGCGCAATTGCACATGTCGGAGAATCCAGCCAGAGCTTTACAAGCTTCCGAAGGAATGGGCGCCCTGTGTCTCCAGAGATGTTTCCAGTTGGCCGGGCCTTGAGCCCGTGGGAGCGGGAGTCGGCGGATGGCGCGGCGCGAAGACGGCTTGCCTCGGCCGAGTTGTCTCCATGCACGCACGTTGCCATATTAGTTCACGACTGGCCTCGCCATCGCGGTCGCGCCGCAGGTTGCCGCATGGGAAAAATGCATTCGGCCACGCGCGCGGGGGGGGGTCGTCGCAAGGCCAGCGCAGCGACAGAGAAGTGATTGCCCCATAGGAGAGCCGCGACGCAACGGGCTCGAGCCCGGGACCCTGCCGCCCCCGATAGAGCCGCTGCACTGCAGAGCGAAGTTGCACGCGCGGAAGGGGGTCGGCAAGAGTTTGCAGCAGGACTACGGGGGAGGAGGAGGAGTCTTCCGAATCGTCTAGCTAGGACAAGCCCATCTCGCACGCCGCCCGCCCCGCTTGCCCGGAGGGCCCCGAGGTCGGAGCCGCCGCCCGCGACGTCGCGCAAGCACGGGCGCCGCAACCCAGGACGCGTCGGCAGCGAGGCAGCCCTGGAACAAGTTGCCCGAATTTGTTTCCCCGCCGAAGGCGGCGCGCGGCGCGCGCTTTCGCCCGAGGCCCCAGGGGGGGCCCTCAGCCAGCGCCCGCGAAAAACCTCCCTGCGGCGGGGCGCGAGGGGCCGAGGGCCGCGCCGGAGACTTGGGCCGCATGCGAGGGGCCCAGCCCGGGGACTCTGCGCCCACCCCCTCGCTTGGGACGCCTCGGGCGCCGCCCC